TTTCATGTACTCCCTCCGTCCGGGTGTATAAGTCATTCGCGTAGTTCTAGGTCATCGATTTGAGGAATTAAATATGTGTTATATGTCATGAAAAGTATACCACTAGATTTCCACACGGATGTAGTTTCTAAATATATATTTTTTGTCACATATAATACATATTTAGATAGTTAAATTATCGACCTAGAACTACGCGAATGACTTATACACCGGGACGGAGGTAGTACAACGTTAATAGCGAGTGTGGATCGAGGGGACGCCATTAATCATGTGCAGGGATCAAGGCGCACGTCCTCTAGCAATGGGGCATGGCCTGGGAAGGCCGTTATACCACTCACCCACGTCACCTTGACCATCAGGTCAAGGCTAACACGTGGTCCAATGGGACTACTTGATGAGACCGGCCTGGCTTGTCAAAAGCCTGGCAGGACAACTTTCGGAGGCGCATCGCGGGAGTTCAATCAGTTAAAAGATTGACTGTGCTGGAAAGTTTTTCTCTGTGCAAGTCGGGAGTTATCTCCTTCAACAAATTCCAAACCAAGTTCGCTTATGTCACTTCAGAAGCAGTCCGGCATCTGGAGGTTGGCTTAATGAGGACAATCTTGGGGAAGCTTTGTTGAACCTGTTTCAAGCCCGGCGGCAAAAGACGATGTGCAGCTCGGGGTTGCCGGGGTGCGGCCAAGCTTGAAGGATGGTACAAGGGCTACTGACGGTGTCTCGGACCAGGGGTCTCTTACCACGTCAGTTCTTGGTCTGGTGGGCCGGGCGACCCATGGCGGATTATACAAAGACTTGACATACAAGTCGAAGATACCGGAGCCGAGATTCTGAAAGAAAGAAGATACCAGAGCCGTGAAGGACACTGATCGGAAGCAATCCGTGGACGTTTGAGGTGTGCCCATTGTGGTCGTAGATGTCCTATAAGGAATCCTGCCTCCGCCACTGCATGCAAGGGCAAAACAATAGATGAAAGATACCTATATACATGTACACTGGTGAACATACGGAACGCGTGCTTACGTTAAAGAGAGAACATGAGCATTTGATCCCGCATCACTAATTATGCTGATTTAGGTTATTCATTCAACTTACCGATGTCCATTCTTCCCGCAACCGGTCGGCGGAGACGCAGGTGGCAAATTCAGCCACCTGGCTGGTTGTCAGGTCTGACTTAGAGCATCTCCAGCGCACTATATGGGCGGCGCGCTAAAAATCCATTTGCAGCGCGTGGATCGTCTATTTTTACGCAGCGGGATGTGTTTGCTCCAGCAGCCGCTGCAAATTTTAGCACGCGCAAGCCGCTCCAGCAGCCGCTGTAAAAAACTGCGCACGCGCTCTTGCACAAAGAACATATACACTTCGAATTAATAAAAAATAAATATGCATAGATTAAAAATAGATAAACCCAATACATGGATATTTCACAATGCGTACATAGTTCATCATAGCATTGATAGATAAAGAAACTAGTCCAGGACGATAAAAAAACTATGGTGCAACTAGATAAAAACTACGGTGCAACTAGAACCTACTCCGAGTCATCATTCTCGCTGGTGTTGTCCGAGGTATCGAGCCACATGTCTTCTCAACGAGAATCGTCTGAGTCAAAGAACGACTCCCCACCTGCGTTAACGAGATCGCACTGCGATATGGCCAGTGCCTTCCGCCGACGCATGTCCGCCCGCTCCGCGCGGCACCTTGCCGTCCTCTCCACCCAGAAGTCGTTCTCGTCGGCGACGTCCTGCGAGTAGCGCTGGCGCCACTCCGCCATGGCTCGCTCGTCCTCCTCGGCATTGAGGAGGCGGCGCTGCCGCCGACGGTGTTCCTCATGGTACTGTTCTGTTATAAGACGAGGCAGAGGGGCGACGGCTTGCGCCTGCTCGCACGTCCGGACGTCCTGAAAGTTCATCTGCGCGCGAGGCCTCTGGAGGCGGCACGCCGCCGCGTCGTACGCGCGGGCAGCCTCGTGCACGGTCTCGAATGTGCCGAGGCCGAGGCGGACGTCGCCGGACCGAATCTCAGCGTAGAAGACGCCGAAGGGGCGCTCGCGGACGCCGCGGTAGCCCGAAGATCCCCAGCGGTGCGGCGAATGGTGGCGCGATGGTGGCGCGTCAGTGGCGGGGCGAGGAAACTGCAGAGGAAGCAGAGAAAGCGGGGAGAAAACACGTGGCAATGTGGATAGCGATGGGAGACCGCGTGGCGAGCGCCGCAATTATAGGCGCGCCGAAAGCGGTGCGCCAAATCTAGCGCGCGAGCTCCCGCTTTTCCTCATGCGCAATCGTTTTCCGCGCGCCTGAGTTTTCCGTCTTCGATGGAGCACGCGAAAATGTCCCGCGCGCGCGAGGTTTTCGTTGTCGTTGTTGGAGATGCTCTTAGGCACATTTTGACCTGCACTGCACACCACAATTTCAACTTGCGTGACCGTTGTGCACATACACTACGAGGAACAACGAGAGCGTCGGTGCAATTTATTCTCAGCGGAAGGTCGCAAGCAAGGAATTATATAACACTTTGAACAAGACTCGCATCACACTCCCCGGCTTCAGGAAACCACGAGAAGGCATCCAGCAAAGCCGAATGCATCGTGTCCTTGCCAAAGAGGATGCACTTCCGGGGCTAGAGATTCGCCACATACTTTAATTTCTTGTGATCTTCGTGGCCGACACTGTCATCGGAACAACAACCGCACCGTCAGCGATCGAGTAATTTTCTCCCCTCTTCAAAAGCCCGCCTTAATTAATGATGCAGCGGCGTTCGAAGATGGTGGAAAAGTAGGCACTACCCGAGTACAGGTTCCCACTGGAACCTGCAGGTTTTTCGGGATCTTTCTCCTGTCTAATAAGGTTTCTGTGGATCATGCAGAATTGCACATACGTACAAGTGATATCCATTGACAGACCAACAACCTCTCCCTATCTTTGCCCATGTTGGTCACAGTGGCGTCGGCAATCTTCCTTCCTAGCACCACCAGCAAGCACCAGGTGGACGAGAGGACAAGATTCTGGCTACGGGCCGAGATACGCTCACAAAGGGATAATACCAGAACGAACAAGTGTCATGATTGCCCGCGTCCCAGAACTCTCCAGTCTACGCTCCTACTATCTTCCTTTGTGCAGCTTCTATCTATGATTGCTCCCACCAACTGCCATCCAGTTAAAAAAAACATGTATGTTGATGAAGAACGAAGGACATGGCAAATATTTCGACAGAATAGAGTAAACTTTCCCACAGAAACCTGTTGATTCAGTAAAACACAGAACAAGAACCAGTACAGAGGAGTGACACTCAAGCTCTATAGTTTTTCAGCTAGCAGAATATAACCTTCATCTATGTACAGTACAGGAGGAAAAGCAAGGCACACATACGTGCAGGTGCAGCAACCGCCTGGAAGGTGGAAGCAACAATCATTCGTAGGTGTACTACAGATCGATACGATGGAATTACATACATACACACATACACGTACATACGAGGTATGGATCGGAGCATCGATCATTCCATCAAGGCTTCCACATGTCCTGGAAGGTGGAGTGGAAGCTGGCGAGGAGGAGCAGGAGGACGACGACCATGGCGACGCCCCAGGGGGAGCTGCCCTCGGAGGGCGCGGCCGGGTACCCCCTCCAGCGGCTCTCGGTGGGGTAGAACCCGAAGTAGCCCTCGAAGGTGTCGACGGAGGAGATCCAGCGGATGAGGAGGACGAGCGCGATGGGCACGCCCAGCAGGAACCAGCTGAACTGCTCCGACGCCTCCTCCATGAAGTCCTCGTACGAGAAGAACCACGACGCCCCCAGCAGCAGCGTCACCATCATCAGGATCAGGATCACCGGGTACGGCAGCGGCGACAGCGTGAACGCCTCCAGCACCGACGACTCCCCGCGCCGGTCGTAGTACGACATGGCTGCCTGCCTGCTTCTTTGCGTTGCCTCGCCTGGTGTGCGTTTGCTTGGCCTGAGAGGTGGGGAAAGTGGAAGGACGAGGTGGGGGGATAGGGGTAGGAGGGGCGCGTAACTGCTAGTAGCGTGTTGCGGCTGTGGCCTGGCGCGCGTCGCGAGGACGGATAGATTGAAAGTTCGTGCGAGGAGTGAAGTCTCTGGGCTTGTGGACTTTGCTGGCTAAATTATTCATTCACCTAGACCCGTGCCACGAGATTATGGAGGATTGACGCTGTCTGCTTCAGGTATCACAGCTGATGAGCTAGCTCCCAGTGGACGTCCCCATCAGCAAAACAGCACCCCAAAAAGTCTTTGTGCTGCGGGTGGTGGTGTACGCGTGGCGGAGAGAGGTTCAGAAACAGACCTATTATCATTAGCTTTACGTGTACCATGATGTATGTTTGGGAGCACGATGATATTCTTTCTTGGCATAGTATAACTTGTGATGCTGATATGTGCAGAGTAGTAACTGATGAGGTGAAGCCACAGACGTGGTGGAGGGACAAGGTGACAGTACGTAGAACGGTCTGTCCAATACTCTAGTCTAGTCGAAATCTAAAAGTGGAGCTTTCTGGACTGTCCATTCAAGTCGACAAATATTATTCCACGGGCCAATAATTCAGACATAAGGCTCGGCCTTGATTTAGGCCTAAAGTGAGGGAAAGTGATTAGACTGACCGCCATGCCGGATCTTCTAAAGCAACGCTGTTGTAGTCCATCCAAGCTGTGTAGTTTTCCTTTGTGTCTCCATACCGTAGCATTGTCGTAGAACCGAATGGACCATCAGCTATGCTCACTGCACCGTCACAACATAGCCATGGTGGCAGCATACACAACTACCGCTCACAACCTCGGATCATCGCTCTTGCAACATCGACTTGCAGCACCGAGCTCCAAGCGTCGACGCCTCACATATTGTAACATGTGTTCCGCCCCTCGCAGCACTAGCAGCTGCATGTAGCAGCAGGGTGCTGGTGTTGCACACCTCATCTCTCGCTTGTAGCAAGCAACAATGGTTATTGTTCTTGAGGGGGGGGGGGTGTAACGCCCCGGATCTGATGCGCCAAGTGTCTTCCAGTTATTCGCTGTCATTGCCATGTCATTTGCTTGTGTGTTGCATTTTATCATGTCATCATGTGCATTTCATTTTGCCTGCGTGTTCGTCTCATGCATCCGAGCATTTTTCCCGTTGTCCGTTTTGCAATCCGGCGCTCCTATGTCCTCCGGCGTTCCCCTTTCGTCTCTCGTTGTGAGCGAGTGTTAAACTTTCTCGAAATGGTCCGAGGGTTGCCAAGTGGCCTTGGTATAGCACCGGTAGACCGCCTGTCAAGTTTCGTGCCATTTGGAGGTCGTTTGGTACTCCAACGGTTAACCGGGTAACCGTAAAGCCCTCTTTCTCTTTGCAGCCCAACACCCTTCCAAAGTGGCCCAAAACCCATCTAACTCCCCTCCATGCTCTCGGTCGTTCGATCACGATCGTGTGGGCGAAAACCGTGCCTCATTTGGAGTCTCCTAGCTCCCTCTACCTATAAATAGGTGCTCCCCTTGGATTTTCGCGCAGTCCAAACCCTAACCTAGTCCCTCTCCGCCGCCGGACGAAACCCCCACCGCGCCCGGACATGTCCGTCCGCGCCGGACGCCTCGCGCCGCCGCCCCTGACCAGTGGCCGCCCGCCACGTGTCCCTCCGCCGTCAGCCCCTGCCGCAGCCCGCGAAGCCCACGGGAGGCCGCCCCAGGCCGCCCTGGGCCCGAGCGCCCCGCGCCCCGCGCCCTTGCTCCGCTCCGCCGCCTGTCGCTGCCGGCCACCG